CCGAAATATTCCAAGCACTCAGGGTGTTCCAGAAAAGTGGGCGAGCTGTGTAACCAGCTCCCTTGTTCTGGCAGCCCCGGAAATTCAGGAAGTGCTTGGATGAGACTTTGCCAGTTAACAGCCAATGTGTCCACTTTTCTTTTACATTTTAAAGTGAATTTGCATATGATGTCATAGTGGGCTTTTCTTTTTCTTTCTTTCTGAGTTGGGGTCTCACTCTGCTGCCTAGGCTGGAGTGCAGTGGCCAGCTCACGGCCACCACAGCCTTGACCTCCAGGCCTGGGCAATCCTTCCGCCTCAGGCTTCCAAGTAGCTGGAACTACAGGCACGTGCCACCCCGCTCAGCTAATTTTTTGATGTAGAGATGCAGTCTTGCCAAGTTGCTTAGGCTGGTCTCAAGCCCCTGGGCTCAGGCAGTCCTCTTGCCTCTGCCTCCCAAAGTGCTGGGATGACAGGTGTGAGCCGCCACGCCCAGCAGCAGGCTATCTTAAAAATTAAATGGTAAGAGCCCACCGGGTTGGGCGCGTAGACCTTCAGCAAATACTTCGTCAGTGGATACATTGATCCTGGGGTGGACGGAGGCCGTGACCTTCCGGCAAGCGTGTCGTGGCTTGGGGAACAGATGACATGTTGCAACGTCTGTGTCTTTCCCATCCATCCACCTCTGCTGTGAATCCACCGTTGACATGTTTCTGGGTGTGACGTGCATGAGTCAGCCTCTCTGCCGCGGTGCTCACGGTGCCAGGACCCACGGGCGCCCTCCGTGGCCATGGGGTGTGACCCTGTGGCCGCGTCCTCGCTGACAGCGCATCTCTGCCCCTCACACTTCTGCGGTCGCCTGGAACGCTTCGTGCAGCAGCCCCGCTGTCCCTCCCACGCTGTCCCCATAGCACCCCCGGGAAGTCCAGTCTCCGGCAGGCTCCATCCCTGAGGCTCCCGCCTTCTCCCTTGTCTGCGGAGGCCGGCGTGTCCGCCCCCCTGAGGCCACCCCCAGCCTGGGCCTGGGGCTGCAGTACCTCGGGACACGCATCCCCACGCGTGCCCAGGGAGTGCTGTGCCCACATCACCACGTGACAGGAGACCTTCATACATGTGTCACCATGTGTGCTGTGATACTGTGCACCCATCACCACGAGTGCCGAGATCCCTCCACGTGTGCTGAGAGACCTTCGCACACACATCGCCACGTGTGCCTTGATCCCTCCTCTCACGCATCACCACATGTGCCAGATCCCTCCACGCACGCGCCACCACACGTGCCACCTTGCCTCTGTGCACCCATCCCCCGTGGCCGAGATCCCTCCACTACCAATCACAATGCGGGTCCCTCGGGCCGGTTGGTGACTCTTGGGTCAGTTGACAAGAAGCTCCCACATGCAAGACTTCTTTTCAAGAGCTACAGAAACTTCTCTAAAGCTGAGGCTCCTGGGAGACGGGCCTACAGGACACGACCCCGTCCACGGAACCCGGCCGGTGCTGACCCTCGGGGGCCAAGTGCCCGCCGCACACCGTCGCGTCTGTGGTCAGGTGGGCACCTGCGGCAGCCGGCTCAACACAAAACCTGGGTCAACGTCAGAACGGACAGCCTCCTGCTGAAGTTCCTATTTCTGTGTTGATTCTTACACAAATAGGATTTTTTTCTGTCCTTTTCTGTGTAAATCTCGGAGTTCTCTGGGACTGGTTTGGAAACAGTCGAAGTCAGCATTTTCCCAGCAGGACTGCCACAGATTCTCTTTGCTCTCCAAAGCTCTCTCGCTATAAGGATCTGCTGACCCCATGAATGCAAGGCTTCACGCTTCACGCGTGTCCTGAGACCCCTACGTGTGGGTGCGGCACGAGCTGGGAAGGGAGGAGGCAGACGTTCGCGGCCCAGGGGTGCAGGCCCTTGAGCAAGCGTCACGGTGTGGCCAGCAAGGACCCTGGGAAGCATCCGGGTGGATGCTGGACCACAGAGTCATCACAGACATGAGGCCCACGTGCCAGGCCTGCTGCCAGACAGCCTATGCCCCAGGGATGGTGTCTCCCCGTTCCACTGGAGTGGAAGGGACGTGTCCCACCAAGGGGAGAGGGACGGCGACGTTGGATGGGCCCTCCCTCGGCGAAGACCGTGGGTCAGACCCACGGAAAAAGGCAGAGCGAGAGGCCAGGAGGCAACCAGGGACGGCTGTCCTTGTGCTCAGTCAGTGTCAACCGGCCAGGGCGAGGGTCAGCCGTGGACGCGGTCGCACCCGGGTGCCGGGCCAGCCAGGAGGGTGAGGGTCTCTGCGGCGGGGAAGGGGCGGTGGAGGCCGGAGACTGTCCGCACGCGCCCCAGGAGGGCGGACCGAAAGCCCCACCAGGTCTTGGCTCAGTTTTCCGGAGATGGTGCGGTCCACTTGACGCGGGTGCCCAGATGCCACTGGGGCTGCTGGCCTCGGCCTTCATGGAGCCCTGCTTCCTTCCCAAGTGGCTTGGAGAAACCACTTGTTAGTGTCAGCTGAGGCCAGCAGGACCCTCGAGACGGCTTCCAGATGGGCCAGCTGCATGTCCGACAGCACTGTGCACCTGGTCACGCCACAGCCAGAGCCCTGGGCAGGCCGGTGGCAGGGCCCTCTCCGTGTCCACACACCCCAAGTGGGCTCAGCACTTACATAATGCGCTGCAGCGAGGGGCTATTTTTAGCCACCATGTGTGCCATCTCATGAGCTGAGCCTCCCTGATTTGGGGTGTTCTTTCTTCTTTCTTGGATGCCTTCAGCCTGGCTTGGAACAGGACAGCAAACCACGGGAGAGCCAGGGTCCGTCCCCTACCGTCCCCCTCCAGTGCTTCCAGCAGGAGCCGAGCCCAAGGGGACCCAGCGGGCAGGGGCACAGGCTCACCTGCTCCAGGCTCAGGGTCTGGGCCAGCAGCAGAGGCAGAGGTGACAGGCGCCTCTCCCCCATGTCAGGCCACTGTGTTGTCCTTGCGTCCTCGGGTGGAGGTGCCTTTTGTAAAACACCCAGCCTGGTCTGCTGGGGTTCAGTTGCAGAACCTGGCCCTCTTCCATGGCGGCGTGTGTGCCTGCGTGCGCGGGAGTATGTGTTGGACTCATAGGCGAGTGTGCACACGGAGCTTAGAGCTCGCCTCGTGCAGACTCAGCCGGTACCCTAACGGCGGTGGCTCGGAAGGCGGATTTCAAGCCATGCTTGGTCTGCCTGAGGCCAGGACTCTGGCTCTGCCTGCCAGCCCTCGCAGCCTGTGTGCAGGGAAGGGACAAGCGACGAGCTGGGGGACCCTGGGCCTTCAGTTCACCCTGGGGAGGCCAAGTGCCACGGTCCAGGGGCCGTGTCTGGGGAGGGCCTTCTCGCGGGAGGGACGTGCAGCATCCCAAGGTGTGCAGGGCATCGCGTGACAGGGCATGAGTGTGCCAGCCAGCACGGGGTTCCCTCCCTCTTCTTCCCATGACAGACCCATCTGTGAAGGCAGGGCGGGCATGACCCACTCGCCTCCTCGAGGCCCCGCCTCCGATGCCGCCATGTTGGGGACTGGTTTCCACATGAGTGTTGAGGGGACAGATGTCCAAACCTTAGCAATGTGTCTTTCACACTCGCCAGAAGAGCAGACTTTAAGTGTTCTCCCCACCAAACCGATGACAGGTGAGGCAACGGCTGTTTAACCAGCTTGAGTCACTCATTCTGGTGTAGACTCCTGGGTCAGAACATCGCTGTGTGGCCCGCAGACGTATACAACTATTTTTTTTGTTTCGTTTTTTGTGAGCTGGAGTCTCACTCCTGGCCACCGCAGCCTCGACCTACTGGGCTCCGGCGATCCTTCCACCTCAGCCTTCCGAGTAGCCGGAACTACAGACGTGCGCTACCGTGCCCGGCTGATTTTTTAAAATTATTGTAGAGATGAGGTCTCGCTGCTCAGGTGGGTCTCGAACCCACGGGCTCAGTCAATCCACTCACCTCAGCCGCCCAAAGGCGCGGATTACAGGCTGAGCCACCAAGCCTGGCTACATATACAACTATTACGTGTCAATCAGACATAAATACATAAGCATACTTAAATATAGCACAATCGTTATGTGTCAATTAGACACAAAAACATGAATATGCTTAATAAACATAACACAATTATTACATGTCAATTAGAAATAAAAACATAAATATACTTAAATATAATACAATTATTGTGTCAAACAAAAATATAAATATACTTAATAAACATAACATGATTATTATGTGTCCATTAGACAGAAAAACATAAGTATACTTAAATATAGCACAATTATTATGTGTCAATTAAACACAAACAAATGTACTTAATAAACAGCACATTTATTACGTGTCAATTAAACATTTAAATATAAGTTTACTTAAATATAACACAATTATTGTGTCAATTAAAAACATATACTTAATAAACAACACGATTATTGTGTCAATTAAACACATCAATATACTTAATAAATATAACACGTGTCAATTAAACATAAATGTACTTAATAAACACAATTATGAGTTGGCAAACAAATATAAATACTTAAGAATATAATGAATATTTGTCCATTAAGTGTAGGAACAAATATTTTAAAAACATGAGCAGAGAAAAAAATGCAGAGCTCTGAGTCCTCCACACGTGACAGGGACTTTTTGTCTCAGCCGAGAGAAGGGGGCTCCCTGGGGTCCTGGCCCTGACGGCCGGGCGGCCCTGAGGGCCCGTGGTTGGCTCGACTGGTAATTTCCAAGGCAGACCGTGCGGGTGGGGGCCGGGAGGCCTCCCCAGTTCCGTCCTTCGTTCAGCTGTTTGCAGCTTGGAGCTCACTGCGCGTGTGAGGAAACGCCTTGCCTTCTGGTGACTCGGAGGCATTTGCGTCGAGGTGCGATCTGGGGGGCAGAGGGAGACCTGGCCACTCTGGGGGTGGAAGCGGGTGGGGCTTCAAAGCTTCTCATTTTGAAAAACTCACACCTGCAGAAAACGCGGACGAGGGGCACAGTGACCACCCTGTGTCCCCCACCAGATGGGATCGCTGCCACGGCGCCCATCGGCTGCCCGCGTGTTTCATGTCCGCTGTTCCCCCTTGCCTGAATCATGGGTTTGCGGTGGCCTCACGTGGCTGCATTTCCGAGGTGAGCCTGCAGGGGTCTGAGGTTAGCATCTACACCTGCCTGCAAACCTGTGTCCACGGCTTCCGGATCCCACGTCCTGCATTCTCGGGGCCTGGCCAGTCTCGAGCCTCTTCCCTCTGTGCCCCCCGCCGCGGGGCGGCCCCGTTGCTGACGGCATGGGGACCGGTCCAGGGAGCTGGCTTACCGCTTTCCAGAAACGTGCCAGCATGCCATCCAGCCCTGGCGCAGCTCGAGCAGAGAGAGGCACCGGAAGGCTCGCAGAGCCTTCTAGAGTCTGCCAAGCAGCAGGCAGGGTGCCCTGGGGGTTGGCTTCGAGTGGTGGGTGAGCACGGAAGCCATGGCCTGTCCCCTCTGGTGTTTAATCAGCCGACGGTCCCACGGCACAGCGCTGCAGCCAAATGCCGTCAGGTTTAGGCACGCAGGACCCCTCTTGACTTCTGCCCTGCCTGGCCTGGCGAGTGTCGAGCCGTCAGGCTGTGTTGTGCAGTGTCTACCCATCGGAGGTGTGCAGGGTGTGTGCAGAGCGCCTGTGTCTTCTCCAGGCTGCCCAGGGGAGCAGTGGCTGGGGGCGGGTCCCCGAAAGGCCATGTTGTGGTCGGAGCTGGTTTTACCGGAGACGGTCTTGCACGCACGTCAATGACCGTCCTTAGTGCCCGTGTCCAAACTCCCCAAGGACAGCGATCACATAAAAATATACATCCCAGCACAGAGGCCAAGGCAGGAGGACTGCTTGAGCCCAGTCGGAGCAACATAGTGAGACCCCGTCCAAGAAATAAAAAAATTGGCTGGGCGTGGCCTACTGCTCAGCCGCACCCAGCTGTGCTGTTTTTCGTTTTTTATTTTGAGTCGGGGTCTCTGTCGCCCAGGCTGGAAGGCAGTGGCGTGATCACAGCTCACTGTAGCCTCAACCTCCTGGGGTCAGGCGATGCCCCCGCTTCAACCCCCCAAGTAGCTGGGACGACGGGTGTGTGCCACCACGCCCAGCTAATTTTTTTATTTTTTGGACGGGGTCTCACTATGTTGCTCAGGCTGGGCTCAAGCAGTCCTCCCGCCTTGGCCTTCGTGCTGAGATGACAGGTGTGAGGCACCGACTACTTCTGATTCAGACTCTGGGATGGGCTCATCTGTTAACAGAGAGACACAAATACACCTTCAATGTATATTTTTATGTGAGCTTGTGTTTCTTTTCTCGCCACTGTCAGGCAGATGTAGTTGGTTGTTTTGTCTGCACTGTTTAAAATTACTCGCATGACGCTGGCTGGATGAATGTGGCTTTGAGCAGATCCAGAGGGACATGGGGAGGCCTTTTCAAATAGGATTCCCCGAAGCACCAGGCGCATGGCATGGCTGGCGTGGCCCCATCGGCAGGAGTTGTGCTTTGTAAAGGCATGAGATGCTTTCTGTTTCGTGAGTGGGCTCCTCTTTGTCCATCTACAAGCCACATTTTTAGGGTCGTCACAGAGATCAGCTCCCAAGTCCACCGAGTTCAGTCCTGGAAGTTAGCAATGGTGTTTTGTCGCAGACGGAAGAAACCAGGCCCAGTTGGGTGGTTCCTTTGTTATTCACTTACAAAAGACTATTTTGTCACCTCTGTCCCAGGTCCTTCCTCTGCTTATATCTACCTCTAGCTTTCCATTTGTTTATTTGTCTGTCTGTTTATTTTGAGCGGGAGTCTGTGTCTGTCACCCAGGCTGGAGGGCAGTGGCACTTTTACAACTCACCACAGCCTCAACCTCCTGGGCTCAGGCGATCCTTCTGCCTCAGCCTTCCGGGTAGCTGGGACTACATGTGTGTGCCACCACGCCCGGCTGATATTTTAATTTTTGGTAAAGATGAGGTCTTTCTACCTATCATATTTGAGGTGACTGGAACCTGCTTATTCAGAAGTCACCCTCCATTGCCTCCGATTTCCCCTTTAGTTGGAGGAGGCGTCTCCCGGGCTTCCGCCGCTGGACGTCACTTGGCGCCCAGAAGGGCCTTCACCACCTGTCACAGCTCTGCTTGGGGTCTAGCCGGGCAGGAGTGTGGCGAGCGGGCCCTGCCGTCGTCTCCGTTTGGTAGACGAGAAATGGAGTGACTTCCGCAAGGTCACACCCACCCAAGTGGCAGAGCCCGTTGACAGACACATGCCTGTAACTGCATTCGAGGGCGTGTGTGCACACCCGGATGTGAGCCTGCCTTTTAAAATTTTTTTAGAGAATACATGTAGGTCCCTACAGCTTTCTTCTCCCCTTTAATTTGATAAGTGTGTTGGTTTCCTTAGGCCGCTGTAACAAAACACACAGACAGGTGGTTTAATCACGGAGATTTACTCTTGCACAGTGGGATCAGGGTGTCAGAAGGGCTGAATCCTCGGGAGGCTGGGAGGGGAGTCTGCCCAGCCTCTTCCCGCATCCGTGGTGACCAGCAGTCCTAGCGCCCTGTCTGTGGCAGCATCGCCCGACCTCTGCCCTGTCCTCACTGGCGCCCGGTCTATGTCCCAGGCTCCTGTGTGCAGGGACGCCAGCCGTGCTGGATCAGGGCTGCCCCCAGCCGCCGTGAAGACCTTGCCTCTGCACGGGGCCACATGCTGAGGGCGCTGGGGCCTGGAGCTTCAGCATGAGGACCTGGGAGCCATGATTCCACCCTAACGGCTGTTGTGAGCTTTTTACGTTTAGGTTTCTAGCCACCCAGTCCCAGTTGCACCAGGTAATGTGGCAGGGCCGCTAGCAGCCTCTGTGCCGATCCTGTCCCGGTGTGCACGTGCTGTGCGGAGAACACCCGGCCCGGGGTCTCCCCGTGTGGCCCGGGCATGAGCGGGCGTGGGTGCCTCGGCCCGCTGTGCAGAGGACGCTGAGGCCCTCCTCTCTCCGTCCGCCCGCAGGCGTCTTTCCCAGCAAACCTCCAGCTCGTCCTGGTCCTTCGCCCAGCGGGATTTTTCCAAAGGACCCTCTCCGACATCGCCTTCAAGTTCAATAGAGATGACTTTAAGATGAAGGTGCCGGTAAGTGTCCCCGCTTTCGCTCTGCGTGAGCAGAGCTGCACAAACTGATTCTCAGCCTGCCTGGGACCTTCAAAATGCTCAAGGGACTGGCCTCGGACAGCGGGCGTCCTCGTGCTGGGAGGCTTCCTCCTGATGCAGCAGGGACAGCATGACCCTGTATTTCCCCCACCCCACCCCCGGGCTGACAGTCCAGACTGTGCAGGTTCTCTCACACCTCGGAGACCAAAGGGTCACCACCAGCCCCCCAGCAAGGAACACAGCCCAGGCTCGGCCAGCAGCCGGGGACAGGAGGGGTCGGGGAGGTGGGTGTGTTTCCCCCGGGGCCCACGAGGGAGTCCCAGCTGCCAGCAGGGGGTGGGCTGGGCCTGGAACAACCAGCAGGGTCCCTGTCTCTCTCCATGACACTGGCCCAGCACTGACAGCCTCCCCAAAACTGCCCATCGAGTAAGGCCGCTGGCTAGCACCCATCTGTTGCCCTTTAAAGAGCAGAGACTTCCTCAAGGCCCTGAAATCTGCAGAGTCCAGGAAGCCCGTGCGACCCATGAAGGCTGGTCATCAGCCCAAGCCATGTCAGGCCCTGAAAAGAGCCCGCAGTGACTTCCATGAGGTCACTTCTTCTCTGTCACAAAGAGAGCAGGAGCGTGCGGTCCAGCACCGGGCACCCTGGAGCCCTCGGCATTACCAGCGGTGACTCTTGGGAATCTAAGACTCCAGGACTGGGTTGCTCTGCAGGAGGGTGTTACCTGTGCCTTGGTGTATGTGGGGCGGTACATGTGGGATATGTAGGTGGGACACACGGGCGGGGCATACAGAGGGGGTATGCAGGTGGGGTACGCAGGTGGAGTCAGCAAGTGGGGTGTGTGGGTGGGATATACGGGTGGGTACACAGGTGTAGCATGCAGGGGGGTGCAGGTAGAGACCCAAGTGGGGTGGGGGTGTACAGGCAGAGTACACAGGTGGGGTGGACACAAGTGAGATGTGCAGACACGGTGCAAAGGCAGGTTGTACAGGCAAGGCGTGCCAGTGGGGTGTGCAGGAGGCAGGGTGCACAGGTGGAGCGTGCGGGTGGGTACACAGATCGGGTCCGCCGGTTAGGAGCACACGGGTGCAGCACTCCCGTGGGATACTCAGGTGGGATTGCAGGTGCACCGACCTCTCCCCCACTGCCCCTGAAGCTGGCTCCCGCCCCTGCCTGTCCTCCCCTGGCACTCAGGCCCCGCCCCGGGCGGGGTGGAGAGAAGCTGCTCCGGGTTCCTCCTCCCTCTGCCCTGCTGGCCACGGCCCAGGGGGGTCACAAGGCCCGTCCGCTCTGACAACAGCCAAGTCCAGAATCGCCCCGCGGCCCTGATGGCTGGCGTGGGGCCACCATGGGGTCAGGCGGGCCTTCTGCACAGCCGTGGCCGTGGGTGGGGCCCTCCGGGATCTGTGTGTGCAGGTCGTGCCTTGGTGGCCCTGAGAACCACCGGCTTCCAGGCCTTTGGGAAACTCTGTGCACCCGCATTTCTGATAGCATCAGAGAAGCCTTAGTTCTTGCACAGTCAATGTCCTGGATGTGACCAAAGGTGAAGCCACACAGGCAGTGACTCGCCCGGCCGGGACTCGTGCCGACACGGTGACAGGCTCGATGCCATGTGAGGCTGTACTCCGCGTGGTTGGCACAGGTGGCACAACCCTTGGGGCTCAGGGGACAGCGGCGTGCCCGGTCCTCCCTCCTAGCACATCAGCCAGACTTCTCTGCCACATGCTGTCTCAGGACGCAGGGCCACCTGATGTCCACGCCGTTGTCTCTGCAGAGGGGCTCTGCGGTGTTGTATTAGCAAGTCATCAAACACGGCTCTGCAGAAATCACAGCATCTTCAGACTCACCCATTTAGATAACCCTTAGAAATGATAGAAAAGATCCTCGAGAAGCGAAGCTTTCAAAATGTATCTGGGCCAGGCTCGGTGGCTCAGCCTGTAATCCCAGCGCATTGGGAGGCCGAGGTGAGCGGACTGCCTGGGCCCGCAGGTTCGAGATCCTCCTGGGCAACTTGGCAAGACCTCATCTCTACAATAAATCACAAAATTAGCCGGGCGTGGTAGCACGCGCCTGTAGTCCCAGCTACTTGGAAGGCTGAGGCGGAAGGATCGCCGGAGCCCAGCGGGTCAAGGCTGCGGTGGCCGGGAGCAGCCAGTGCACTCCAGTCTGGGTGAAAGAGTGAGACGCCAGCTCAAAAAAAAAAAATGTATCCGTGTCCGTGTCTGGGCACCTCAGGCTGAACTCAGCACTAGAAAACATGTTAAGTAAAACAGCAGCTCCTGGCACCTTTTCTGTCCCCGTTAAACACGTGCGGGCTCAGGCAGGACGTAACGGGGGGGGGCAGGAACTACAGGGGAGGGAGCGTGGCTCAGCAAGCAGATGGAACTACGTGGCAGCACATGAGCAGTGTTCTCAGAAGCACAGGGAGAATGGAGCTGTCTCCACGAGAACTCTGCTTTCTAGTTTCTAGTTGCGACCAAACACGCAACAAGTTCCTGGAGTGAGCACGACGCTTCAGTGGGTTCTCAGCTGGGCGCTGCCGCCACATGGAAGCACGTGTGTGCTGCAGGGCCGCACGCGCTGTGGGGTTTTAGCTGCGTCTCCGGTCTCCGTCCGCCAGAGCCGTCTCCCCCGACGGCAACACAGAATGTCCCCAGACCCTGCGCGGCATCCCCCGAGGGGGTGAGTCACCCCAGCTGAGAAGCCCGACTTTGAACTAATACGGCGTTCAATAATACACGAAGTGGCATCAAGTGACATCTGCACTGAGCCTCTAGGGACCTATTAGAGAACCCACCTGATGCCAACAGAGCAGAGACCGTGTTTTCTCTGCCCGGTGGGTGAGCTGACCACCAGAAGGGCCAGGGAACACAGAAACTGACAGCGACATGTGAAAGAGCTCATGTGGGCACGGTGGCCATGGATTCCCCACAGAACTCAGAGCCCTCCGGGGGCCACCACCCGCTCCCGCACATTGGCCTGACTTGGCTGGATGGATTCCAGCTAGTACCTGTGAGGCCACGTGGCGTTTTCAGCAGGAACAGGGACAAAAAACATCCTTAGATGGGTCTCTAAATAGATTCCAGCCGGAGCGCTGTTCGATTAGCCTGCCCAGGGAGGGCGTCGGCACGTCTCGCCCGTCCCTATCCGCTGTGCACTGGGCCTCCCATCAGGGTCCTGCGTGCCTCGCCACGCCTGGAAGAGATCAGTCACCATGTGCCCATGTACAAACGTGGCGGCCGAGACACAGACAGCAACTTGCCCGAGGGCAGCCAGGCGGGGTGTGGGCTGCGGGGTTTACGCCTGTCCACTTGGGTCCAACGCCAGGCGCCTCCACCCGCACTCAGCACCAGGCGGAACGTCCCTTGGCAGCTGGGTGTCCCACGTCCAGGGAATCCTCCTTGGGTGCCAACCTCATCCCAAAACACGAACCTGAGTGCCGTGGGCCGCTCTCTCTTCCAGGTCATAATGCTGAGCTCGGTACCAGAACTGCATGGCTACATCGACAAGTCGCAGCTGACCGAGGACCTCGGCGGGACCTTGGACTACTGCCACTCCAGGTGGCTGTGCCACCGCACGGCGAGCGGCGTCGGCTGTGCCCGGCGGGTGGCGGGGCTCGGCAGCTGGCGGCCACCCGCAGGGCTGCTCTTGAGCCACGATGCCGCCTTTTCCACAAACACGTCCACGTTCACAGAGGCCCTCCTCCCCCAGAATGAGGAGCCGGTCTCTGCGGGCCTTCGTCACCGTGAAGGAATAACACGAGTAATGCGTGTGGGCGGGGCTTTATCTGGGCTGCAGACAGAAAGGAAAAACGCCCTGTGTTGTGGTTTGTGAACTCACACCCCTCTCAACAAGCGGAGAGAGACAGACTGAGGGGGAGAGAGACAGAGAGACCAACAGAGACACGCAGAGAGACAGACAGAGAGACAAAGACAACTAGAAATAGAGACAAAGTCAAAAAAGAGACAGAGACAAAGTGGGAGAGACAGAGAAGAGAGAGTCAGAGACAGAGACACACAGAGAGAGAGACACACAAAGAGAGACAGTAGGAGAGACAGAGAGACAGAGACAAATAGAGATAGAAACAGAGTCAGAAAAGAGACAGAGACAGATAGAGACAGAAACACATAGAGAAACAGAGACACAGAGAAACAGAGACAGATATACAGGGAGAGACAGAGGTAGAGACAGTCAGAGAGATAGAGACAGAGAAAGAGAGCAAGTCAGAGACAGAAACAGACACACAGAGACAAAGAGATAGAGAGACAGAGATAGAGACAGAGATAGAAATAGAGACAGAGAGACAGAGAGTAAGTCAGAGACAGATAGAGACAGAGACACACAGAGAGAGAAAGAGAGAGACAGTGGGAGAGACAGACAGAGAGACAGAGTCAGAAAAGAGACAGAGACAAAGACAGAGAAACAGAAACAGACGGTGGGAGAGACAGGCAGAGACAGAGAGCACATGCCCTCAAGCGCAGCCTGATGCTGGGTGGGGAGCATTGGAGGGTGTGCCTGGCCTGGCCCTGAAAACCCTACAGGCCGAGGCGCTCTAGGCGAGTCTGCTTCATGCCCAGCAGCCCTCTCTCCGGAGACCACTCCCAGCGTCCCCAGCGTCTGCTTTCAGGCGCCGCGGGTGGGTGCAGCGTGGTGACGGCTGCCCCCCGCCCCAGGCGATCGAGAGCTTTGCCATCATGGTAAAGCGGACGGCCCAGATGCTGCAGTCCTTCGGGACCGAGCTGGCCGAGACAGAGCTGCCCAACGACGTGCCATCCACGCGCTCGGTGCTGTGCGCGCACACGGAGAAGAAGGAGAGAGCCAAGGTAAGATGGGCCACGGGGCTCGGGTGCCGCGGGCAGTGACTCTAGCAGGCGAGGTGTCCAAAAGGCCCCTGCTGGGTTTGCCCGGAGCCTTTCTGCCAAGAACCGAACGTTTTCCTTTCTTTCTTCCTTTGTGCTTTTTTAGAGACAGAGTCCATAGTTCACTTCAGCCTCGAACCCCTGGCTCAAGCAGTCTTGCCTCAGCCTCCCAAGTAGCTGGGACTACAGGCACGGGCCACCACACCTGGCCATTTTCCATTTTTTACTTTTTGTAGAAACGAGATTCTCACTATGTTGTCCCGTCTCCTCAAACTCCTGGCAACAAGCGGTCCTCCTGCCTTGGCCTCCCAAAGTGCAGGGATTTCGGGCACGAGCCACAGCGCCCGGCCACGTGGGTTCCTTTCTAAAAGCGGCAACCGTGGGTTTCATAAAACACAGACTGCGGCTCACATGTGCGCTGGCCTCGGGTCAACCGTCACCAGCCCAGCATGGCCCAAGGGACGTGTGGAGTCTGAGTGAAGTGAGACTCAGTCGTCCGGCACCACAAGGTCCCCATCTGGACACGTCCTGCCTGCGAGGGTGATGGACAGGTTTCTACTGGGTGTCCCACCCAGCAGGCGCTGGGCACCTCCCTGTGCATGGATGATCCCTGTGCTCACGCATCCAGGCCGCCGTGTCCTGGGTTGAATACATTCCGAGGAGCATGTCCCTGTGTCCGCATGCCCCTGGCCACCCTGTGTGCTGCTGGCTTTGGACAGTGGTGGCCTGGTGGACAGTGGTGGCCCGGAGGACTGTGCCCTCTCTCCCCGCCAGCCGCTCCGCCCTGGAAACGGCCTTTCCCTCCCAGTGAGGCCGCGGAGCTGGGCCGGGAGGAGGCCAGGTTTCCGGTTTCTCCCTCCCTCCACCGCTCCCTGAAACCCTAGCTCTGCCTGGGAAAGCAGGAGTGACAGGAAAGCAGGGTGCACAGGAGAGGCCTAGGGAGAGGCGGGGGC